GATTCAAGCACAGCAGTCTCTTGGTATAGACAAGCAAAACCAAGAAAACAGCTATCCAGCAATGCAGCTTCTTCATACAGTATATTATATATGAAGATATTTAACTATATATGAAATATATAATATTATTTTCAGACCAATATAAAAAAATAAGGTAAGACCAAGTCGGTGAATGAAGGGGCAGTTTTGTAGTTTTTCGGAACGAGAGTGTATTTTGCAGCATAAGTGAAGTAGCTGGAGCACTATCAGTATAACAACAGGAGGTAGCCAGTCTAGCTCAACAAAATTATTACCTGGAATCCAAGTCCTTTCCGGGAATTTCCTAAAGCAGGGAGTCTAGTGCAGAGGGCTAACTGGAACACTTCAGCAAGAACTGGTCAAAAACCTATACAATGAAATTGGTCTTGGAATCGAGCAGACGATGGATATGTTGTCGGTTATATAGAAAACATGAAATAAACCTGATATACATTAAATCGAACCTACTGAACATTTGACATTTATAAATCGTGACATGCACAACGCACTAACATGAATTGTAGTGGTCCCTTTTAAACCTTTTTTTACAGTATAATATCAAAAAATGGAAATGGAAATTGTCGTAGGATTGAGTTAAAACGGCACGCCTCACTTGCACAGCAAATAAATTACGGGCAGAACATTAAAGGTTGCATTAAAGGGATCCTGTGTTGTTACAACACAGATATACGTTTGCGGCGTGTTTGATTAATTTTGTAGAATGAGTCTTTTCCTTGAGCATTTGGCCTGTGAGTTTGGTAGGATGGAGTCCCTCTGTCCTTGTTCATTTTATCTAGACTGAGCATGTTTTTATTATTCCTTTCATATTTGCTCATTTGAAATGAAGCTTTTTACACAGACATCCCTCACTCCTCTTTCAGAAATTTGGCCGGATGTTTACGGTGCTACCGCTTGTCCTCCTTCACTCTAATGCCTGACGAGAGAGATGGTGCACAGTGAGAGGACTTGAAAATAACTAAAAGCAAGGAAATAATTTTTGTAGACATCTTCTGTACAGCTGGGTTAAGTGAGCTTGTTCTCTGACAAATCAACGTATGGCACAGGCACACTAAAGATACCGTTTGTTTCTGAATGGACGGAGCTGCTCTCTTTGTTTCAAAAGGACAAATCGTTCCCAAGAATTACAGTAAGCCTCAACTCGACTCTCTGCCGCTGTTGCAGGAAGAGGTTTTTATTCTGACCACACCATTCTTTTTCAGATGGATAACAGAGATATTAAAGTAATAAGAACATACAGGGAATTAAATGTTGCGGAGACATTGGGCTCAAGCACATACATGTGTGGAGTTTGCATGTTTTTCCTGAGTTTGCATGGGATTCTGAGGTGAGCTTCGTTTTCTTCCCACCTCCCAAAGACATCATGCGGTTTTGACTAATTTGCTTTGGCCATTTTAAATGGACTCTTTCTCCATAGTGGCCTGTGTAACAGTTGTGTGCTCTCAGAACCTACATTCTCAGCACAAGTAGGAAAGCCTACTGGGAAAACATTGATGGCTATAGCTACAACCCACTTCAAATTAAGTACTGTGATAGCTACGCAAACAAGCAGCTTAACCTACTTTCAAAATATGGCATATATAAGAAAGAAAGCAAGTGCTAAACAAGGTATCCTATGTTGTCAAGATATAGTACTTGAAGAGAAATAAAAAATGTTCTAGTGAGCACTGAAGAGGTGGTGATAACTTCAGCGTTGGCCACGACGTGATTTAAGAAGTGAGTGATTTCTCAGTGAATTAAAAAAATGTAACTTTTTTTACTCGTCACTCTTTTGATTCATAATTTTAGGAAAGAATCCAGAAAGGCTTTCATCGGCCTCATAATAATTTGTCTCATCTACAAAGTGTTACACCACAGCCAACACTATGGACGTTGTAAGTTCTACTTGCTGGCACTATAATAATATACAGTACATATGTTAGTGGTTAAAGTAAGGTTTTTATGCCATTGTACTTCAAAACCACTTTCTATTGAAGAGGGTTTCTCCAGCCTTACATATATTGTATATTATTAGTATCACTTTGATTTAAGATTTTAAAATTGCTATTGTTTTATCATCTCCAACAACAACACATCTTCTATAGTTTAGTAAACCATTCATTCACTTTACTATAGATTTAGGTAATTCTTTCAAAAATTCATAGATTCGGTATTTGCTGCAGAAAATGGATTGTTCAAAATACTTGATTGCATAGCTAGTTAAACAATAAAATTATGCATCAGTTGCAAAATCCTTTTAAATAAACAATTCATTACTGTAGTGGTTCACATTGACACTTTACAAGTAATGTGTATCCCCTACCTGGATGATGTGATGGCAGTCAAACTGCGCCACACATCAGCTCTCAGTGGGGAGGAGAGCAGAGTGATGAAGCCAGTTCATAGATGGGGATTATTAAGAGGCCATGATTGGTAAGGGCCAGGGGGGAATTTGGACAGGACGCCGGGTCTTTAGAGGAGTAACACTCTGAAATCATTAGACTGGTAATATCCTCAAAACACACCCTATGCAGGATCTCTAATTTAAGTGTTTTGTAATTTGCAGGCGGGTTTAAATTTTGGAATTCTGAATTATTCTGTATGTATCAGGGAAAGGGTTTTATTAAAAGGACCTGTTCAGAGAAAACACGTTCTAAGAAGTCAGAGGCGTGCGCTGCAGGACTGGGCGGACAGGCTGCAGCAGTGCCACTTAAGACTCGGCAAACCGGGCAACCGCCCTGTGGCCTGCACCCCGAGAGGCCCCCAAGGTCACAGTGAGGTGCCGCGAGCTCTGCAACAAGGCATACAATAACAATACGTGTATGTTTGTGACACGGGGAGACATAAATCTCCCAACTTACCCTTTCTTGCAAAAATCCTAGAATGTGCTGTCACATTTCAGTAACATAACCACCTCATGACAAATAACCTTTTTGAAGCCCTCCAATCTGGCTCTCGTCAACTTCACAGCACAGAAACTGCATTGGTCAAAGTCACTAACAATCTTCTAATAGCTTCTGATTCTGGTTCTCTCTCTATACTCATCCTTCTTGATCTCGGTGCTGCTTTTGACACATTTGACCATGACATCTTACTTTCTCGTCTTGAGACTGTTTGGAGTTTCTGACACTGCTCTCAAATGGTTCAAATCTTTCCTCACAGATTGCTGTCACTTTGTCTCTCGTAATGGGTATAGGTCTGAAATCGGTCTGGTTAAGTCTGGTGTTCCTCAGGGCTCAATACTGGGCCCCTTGCTCTTCACCATTTTCCACTTGGTCAGCTTTTAAGATCACATAGCCTCAGCTATCATTTCTATGCTGATGATACTCAAATATACATCCATAACAAACCTGACACTGATGTGGCTGTCTCTATTCTAATTGCATCTCTGAAATAAAAACTTGGATGACTAAATTTTTTTCACCTTAACTGTGACAAGACTGAAGTCATGCTTATTGACACCCCCCCATCAACTTTGTAAAGCCAATCCTATAACCCTATCTGTAGATGGTTCTGTACTTGACTTTAGCCTAAATTGAAAAACCTTGGGGCGATATTTGATTCTAGCTTAACATTTGACCCACGTGCAGCATATTATCAAAACTTTTTTTCACCTCAGAAATATCGCTAATTTTTAAAATGGACAAGGCTAATTTCTACAGTAGCTTTGGATGTATAATTGTATAATCTTGGTTTTATTTGGTCATGTTACATTTTATTGATTTTCTTAGGAAAATTCAACATTCCTTCTGCACAGAGCCCAGAATCAATGAGGAAACAGCCCAATCACTGAAAGAATGACTTTAGGAGAACCCTAAATCAAAATTCTGCCACTGGCTCAAAGTAGCAAAATAAACTTTGATTAAGCCTGTTTTAACACATTCTTGGAAAGGGGGTGTGGTGTAGAAGGGCAGTTTAGAACATTCTCTAAAACATGATTCATGATTACATTTAAAGAATCATTCGCTTTGGTTACATTGAAGTTGCATGAAACAGTACTGCATAGCTGCAGTTTTCTTACCTGCAATAAAGAACAATGAAAGAAGGCCGCTTCTAGCAAGTAAATCAATCCTCTGCAAGTCCACAGCAAGAGAAGACAAGTACATCATGACTTCCATTTCCAGTTACAGGATGTGAGCAAGTAACTTAACACTTGCAGTAATATCTTTGGAAAGCGCCTTGCAGTTTATTCAACACTCCACTAAACCACCTCCTACTTCTATCAATGCTGGCATTGGTCAGAGTGAAAACTCACTAATTCTTGGAGAATTAGGGGATTTTAACAAAGTTCTGCTAGTAGCCCTGCTGGTCCTTGACAGGTTTTATTTTGTACAGATGCTGGTACGAGGCACATTTTATAATTGTTCCTTATAAAACTTCTGTAGTGGCAACAGTGTTCCAAGACAATTCCAATGGCAAGACTTCTGACTGATGAAATCTGGAATAAGGCAGAAACCATTTGCCAAGCCTGAATTGTACACATTTAGAAGGTTAATTGAAAAAATAAATACTTCAGGTTCTGCAGCAGTGGCCTGTAAGTTCTGTCACATCTAATGTGTTTAATACATTTCTCAAGGTTAGTGCTCTGACAAAGCTGTTAAACTAGAGTTCTGCGTCTGAAAAGCCTTGCATTTTAAAATCAATTTCAGAAAATCCCAGAACTGAGATAATACAGAGCCCTGAAGGAACTAGTTACTGCAATAAACCCAATTAAAGATTCTTACTCCATTAAGCAAAAAGAATTAGTGGTCTCTGCACTCCATTAGAAGAAAATGCCGATTGGATTTGTAATTTACACTAAACTGAGAGGGGTGGTATGAATGAGGAAATCTAAAGAAATCTTTGTGAGTTTTGTATAACGGGCTGCTAATGGCTTTTCAACCCAAGGGTTTGCCATCAGCTGCAATAATCAATTCCAACCCCATCCCACCCCCACATCTCTTAAAGAGACGAATGCAATCAGGAAACAAAATACAAGAGACATCTGCTGGTCAACATATAATGCCCTGGGGTTTATTTTTTGTGAGAATTCTGTCACAATATTTTTTCCATCTTCCAGGTGGGACTAGAAAACCTCAAGGATAAATTATGCCATTGGACTGGGCATTCAGATTCAGGTACTGACAAAAAACTACTAGTAGTCTGTTAAGTACCATACTCTTCACAGAAGAGAGCTCATTATTTCCAAAGGAAGGCACCCGATATTTGTGGTTCTGGCCTTGCAGCCTTCTGGAGAATCTTAAAAGGAAAAGCTGGCTGTTTTTTTCATCTTTTTTTTTTTAGAAATTGGAATGATGATACACGTACAGCAATTACTGCATTCATCTCCCTTATAGCCTTTTTTTCTATGAACAAGTAACAAAAGAATGAAGTCTTTCGATACAAGGAGGATACAATCATTATCACAAGAACAAAAAAAAAGATACAAAAATAACCTTTCAATGTTTTTTTTTACAAAAGAAAAAAAGGGAAGGAGTAGCTAAAAAAAGTAGCCAAACAAAAAAAAAAAAAGAGGTATTAGGGACTCCACTGTTATGAAAACTAGGGACCAAAATTATATAAAGCAGCAACAGTTAAACCAATAAAAATAGTGCTTAATCAGAAGCCACACAGGCTTCTGGGAAGAGACTTCACCCCTAGCTTGTTACTTGTCTTGGGACAATAGAAATGGAAGATCCCAGTAAGTAATCGATTACCCACTAACAAACCGATGCCTTAAATCCCCCCCCTATTCTGTATGTATGTCACCATTAATTCCACATGATACACAGAAAACTCGGGGACCCAAAGGGGACCCTAGTTATGTTCACAATATACAAAATACCGAGGAGTCCATAGCTACCTAACACATTTACTACAGCACAGGAACCAATGAAGGTACAGTGTACAAAAAAACTGTAAACACAGCACAATAAATAGATAAAACAGCAGGTTCCGCACCATGCACATGATGTGATGACACATTTTGTCTCTATACAACTCTCAAATCTCACACTCTTACCAGTTGCAATTTTTTTCATTTTTCCCAAGTGCAAAACATCACAAATGAACAGTTCTGTATTCAAGTAACGTATATACAAGGGTATTACAAATATGCAGTACTGTACATATAATTGCCATATTCATAATTTACAGACGTTGATTCCTCTTATTAACAGTAACAAATAAAAAATGAAAGCATGAGAGATGAGCATTGCAATTAAGTCCCAGCAGTTGCCATGGAAACACAAATGTGCTGCATTCCACCATCCCTTGCATTCACAATGCTACTGATGCATAGCACCTAAACCAGTCCCCAAGCCCAGGTCCGGCCCACTGGCACTACGTTACTTCCATGGCCACTGTATTGTCCGCTATACTGCTTAGTGCTGGCTTTTCTTTATCATGGTTTTCCCTGCAAAGAAAAGACACAAAGTTATTGCTTCCTCACTCAAAAAGATTCATAAAAAAAAAGATGCCGATTGTCTTAGTGGTTCACGGGTGCAAACATCGGAGGTTGGATAGGAGAAATAGATGCATATCATAAACTACAGTGGGCACAACTGAACTATCTACAGGTACAGAATGCAACAACCTTCCCATCTACCCATTGTCACAGTGCTATCTGTCACAGTGGTATTTTTATCACTCAGATGTAACACCACGCTTAAGAGCTTTGACATACAGGTAGTCCCCCCTTACAATTTTTTTTCTACAACGGAGCACACAGATCTCTACCTAGTTTTCTAAACATGAGCATGTGTTCGCTGTAATGAACAAAATTCCTTTGATGGTGAGCATTCTACTGTAAGTGTGAGAATACACTTCAGTGGGAAGTGTAGGTCCATGCAGCCTACATTCTCTCTGTTTGGATTGGAAACTGCAATAAAGCGTGTAAATTCAAAGTGATGAAATATGAACCCGTTTTTGACATAAGGAGCATAATTCCTCCTCCTGCTGCTTACTAATGTCAGCTTTCTGGCGAGTTTTCAGTTTAAACTTGAACACAACCTTAATTTTAACATGTTATAAAGAAAACGAGTTTATTCTTTATGGTATTTAAAGTACTCAACTCACTAAAAACCTTAATCATAGAATAAATGTAATTACATCATCGTACAATGGAAACATTACTTAACATATGGAAAGCGATTCATATGTTAACAAGGCCTTAATGGCAGTAATTTAAGAAACTGTTGTCATTGTAATGATTCTGTACTACACAATTTTCATATCTACTTACCGGGATTAATTTTCATATAATGAATGACATTTGCTGTACTAGAAGTATTACATTTTTAATGCATTGCACTGAAAATGTTGAGAACAGTCTACGTCATTCTGCTGAAACAGGTCATTTTACTTGATATGAAATGTAAACGGTTTCTGAAAACGAATATCTTCATCAAACACCACACTGTGGCAACTTAAAAAAAGTCTGGAAGCACAAGCAATATTTCTTGCAGCGTTTAAAAATGACACTTGCCTGATGCATCCCAATGAACACACCTTGCCAGAAGTAGCTTTAACACGGGGAACACTGCGATAGGCTTCAATAATTCAAGAGGTACATTACGCCACCTGACCTTGTTAACTTGGGCCAATCAATCACTGCGTTAACCACTACTGATAAGCTGCTCAAGTTCAAAAGGTCTTTAATCTGGACCATTATATAAAAGGAAGGTATGGCAAAATAAAACATTTACAGGGATCTGGGTATTAGATCTTACTTTCTAGTGCTCATATTAGTTAAATGCCCTTTTAATTAAACCCAGATCTCCTTATGGCCTTAAGCAATAAGGGAAGACCCGTACCCACTAGTGTACATCTTTGGGAAAGATACCTGGCACACACTTACCTTGGTACTATATCCATTGAGGATGAGGCTGTAACCTTGGGCATTTGACAGTTTGTTGTCGCAGCCAACTTTAAGGCAGATGACGGAACTGTGTTTAAAGTCCTAGGTATATGCCGCGCATTCAGAGTGGCAATAGAGTTCACAGCACCTCCCGACGAGGGCATCAGTCGAATGTTATTCCCAATCAGGACCTGAGTTGTAGAGTTGGCAGCAGTTCCGTGGTGACTCAGTGCACTGTGGGAACTCGGAGTCTGGGTGTTGTTGGAGGGCTGGAGAAAGGTGGAACCCACTGCGGTCGTCGACTGGCTTGTATGCACCAGTGCAGCGGGTGTGGTGTTAGCGAGGTGTAAGCCCTTGTATACTCCTGGAGAAAGAACAGAAAACCTGCATCAGGGCCGTGGAAACTGCAGAAAACGGATGACAATGGTTTAAAGAGGCTTAAGTTGAAGCTCTTCCACAGTAACTCAAAATTGAAATTTGTTTTAATGTATCAATTTGCCTTCAGTTGAGAAAAAGCAAAGCATCATATTAAATATCCGTATAGAAGAGGCAGAAGAGCGTGCACTTAGGTTCAACTGGCAGAATGCCACCAGGCCCTGGAGAGATTTTAAACGGAAAAACGTTTAGTGAAGCACTTCCAAAAGTGCTAATGTAGCAGCCAGTCAAAAAAGTGACAGAACTGAACCTGGCAATCATAGGCAGTCTTACTTCTGTTAAATGTAAAGTTATGGAATTAGGAACGAGTTAACACACATGAAACGGGTAAAGATGAGGAATAAATGCTCCAAATGGGGTGACTGAATTCCTGGAGTACCATATATTAGGATCAGTACTCTCTGGATTTATATTAATAATCTAGACTGCAGGATAGAGCTGAATAGAAAGATCAACACTGCAGAAGCTGCAAAGGCATACATTCATAACCATTTACACAGAAGTCTAGCCTGGGAAAACATACCATTTACATTCAATGCAAACAACTGCATACAGTGCAGTGCATAAAAATTACCTGTACTGTATGCTGAAATTTACATCTTTTAGATAAGCACTAAAAAGGCAAACTGTTATGAGTTTATTTTTATTCAAAACAAAAGGATATTATGATAAAACTGTACAATGCACAAGTTTGCGTACGATTTTAGTCACGAACACTAAAAATAAATATTTGCACTAAATTTGTCCGCAGAGCACAGGGAACATCCACAGCCTCAAACAAATCCCTGAATTTAATGAACTAGTTTTAGACTTATACAGATAAAAATAAGGATATTAGATTCAATAAGGATCCATCTAATGAATGGCATTTCCAAGAAGTACCAATCGCAGTATAGTTCATGTATGTGTCTTATAGCATTACAGCTGATTCAAGCCCATCACCTATCTTTAAAACCGAAGCCACTGAAATTTTAAAAAAACAGGAAACTTTAGATACCCTGTTACCCCCACCTCAGTTTGATTCTCAGCAGAAAGAAGCCACAAGCTATTGCACATATTCTTTTAAAAGCAATTTTATTTGCTGAAAGTAGGAGGGAATAGATGAGCAGGACAAGACAAACCTCTGACTGTTCAAGGCAAATGATATTCAAGTTTCTAAGATTACCATTACCAACAGAACAATGTTTCAATATAAGACCTAGGGTATTTCACCTGTTGTTGTTCGTGATAAGGAAACCAATCTCATCCCCTCTCACCTGAGGCCTGAAGGATCCCATTGACTCCGATTCCGAGCACCACCTCCTCCTTGGCTTTGAACGCCATCAGCTGCTCTGTCGTCACCAAAGCGGAGGCAGCAAACTGGGCGCTAACAGAATCCAACGTCTTTGATACCAAACCCTGCAAAAGACCGTTAAACACCACGTGAGACCGATCCTATACCGGCATCCCTGCATGGGAGGCAAATGGTCTTCATTACAGACGGACAAAGTTAAATTACACTCTGGTTGCTCTTGATGTTAATCATTCTCTTGAAAACCGCACACGTTGTGAAAACCACTACCTGTGTACTGTTGGCGACAGAGACATTTGCTTGCTGTTGGATCTGTGCAAGCTGCTGTTTCTGCATCAGTGCTAGCTGCTGTTGGTGTTGCTGGTATTGTTCGGCTGTGAATGCTAAACAGAGCAGAAAGAAATAGTTGAAGGTCAAAACGGTCACTTTCATCCCACCAGGCACTTCTCTAGGAAACTTCTAAGTCTAAGGGAACTCCTAAATAAGGTGTTGCTGAGCACAATTTAAATAGCCTTCTGCAGTATCAGTACTGAATGTTTTATTATGTAAATACACATTTTGTATTCAAGGCTTAAACAGCATATAAATATGCATTATACTATACTAGTTACCAAACAGGATTATTCTAAATATAATGGAGTCACAAACATGAAAAACTTTTAACGTAGGGCCACCTCAGAAGTATTCAAGTCGGCTTTTCACATTCTGTAAAATTGGGCAAATGTTTTGCTACATCTAATTTATTGGTAAACCTTGCACATCTCCTTATAGATGCAGTCAATAAACCAAAAAGAATGCTGGTTTATAAAATAACAGAAACAGGAAAGGAGCATATCATACACCAGCCTGTGGCAATAAACAGGACAGAACAGCAAAAAGAAACGTCATTCTTCACTCCTGACAAAAAGGAAACAGAGTAAACTTATCTGACATTCACCACAGGTGACCTATAAATGTCACACGATGTAAGGAAATAACTTAAAACCTTCCACAGCACCCTGGACCAGAGATGAAAAGGAAACCCTTACTGTCGCTGAGCGAGTCCCCTAAAGCACCTCCAACTAGTTCCTGGACAAGTGCCCTGACACTCGCTATATCCTACACCACTGTGGTGTTCTCAAATGACATGTAAGAATGTGCCTTAGGCCTCCCCTACTTCTTATTCCATAGATTTTGCAGCTGTGTAGTGTAGAACACGTGGCAAACACAGAAAAACAAAAGTAAAAAACAGTGGACAAAAAGCAGCAAATCTAAATGAAATCAAGGGACCTTCCAACACAAACAATACCTGGCCCTGTACAACATTAATAGCTATAGAAAAAGGTTGATCGATTCCTCCCTTATTTTGGGACTTGAATTGACTAAAGAAAATAAATCTTTGTACAATATTACCTGCACAAAAGACCAAATGAGGACAACCTTCCATATTTGTTCACATTCTGGGAAGGAAGGCTCCTTCAACATTCAACGTGAAAACTAAAGCATCCTATGAATGTATTTATAAACCCCTCGTTCTAACTGATTCTCCAGCCCTATCTCAAGCCAGCAATGGAAAAGTCACTACATGAATACAAAATACTGTTCTTTCAAAAGCTAACATTGCTGCGTTTTCTAGAGGTCTAATGAAAATGTTAAGTAGCAGCAGCAACGACGACAACAACAAAACCTTTTCTGTACTCACTTCTAATAAAGAACTGTTGGCCCTCAAAAACCTACTGGGAGATGGTCAATTCACAGCCAAAAACAAAGAGTCCTGAATAATTTCACGCATCAGTGAATTTTCCAATTACCTTTCTCAAATACTTAAGGGATAACAATTCAAACTAACTTATGATTTGTTACAAGAACACAGAACCCCAAAAGCAAAACACTGGAAGACAAAAATGGTGGTAGTGGGGGGGCACCTTATAGTGGAATAAACGGATGAAGGGAAAGTACAAGCCATTCTGGTGACATACCAGCGATGGGCGTGGAGCCAGTGCCACTTCTGTTCTGGGTGGAGGCGCCCCCTGCCTGGGTCCCAGGTTGTGCTGAGGACGTCCGAGCCAAGCCCCTGTATAGTTTCCTTGAGGAGACATCTACACTGTCCGCATCGTGTAGTGGTAGTGTCCGGGGCCTAAAATGTCTCCACCGGCAAGACTTAATGTTCAATAATATTTGACTGAGGTCTCTAGAGGGATTTCTGTCCGAGGTATTTGTTTCTGAGGTACTGGCAAACTTGTCAGCTGAAGAGGGCTGCGGGGAGGCGAGCATTTCCGGATCCAGCCGATGAAATACATTGTCGTAGTCTGTGTGTGCTCTGTCCAGTAAGACCCTGCGCAGAGAAGACAAGACAAGAGCAGGGTCAGCCCCTGTTCCATGACCTTTCAATAGTAACATGGCTTCTAATCCACAGCAAGAGCCGTAAAGCAGTAGTATTAAGCTTGTGTTTAGAGCGACCACTCATTTCTGCTTTGTGATGCGAGGGAATTAGTACTGCTATCTCTGGTTGCAACAGATTTCTTCATTCTTTAAATGGGAGAATTGCGGAAGTTCTGACCTGTACAGCTTTTGCTCAGGTCTTTTTTTTCTAGATTTAACACACTGATATGAAATTCTCAGTACTGCAGGCATTTCTGAACACTCTACCTTTCAATTCACCTACATCTTTAACTTGAAGTTGAAACTGACAGCAAGACAGTTGTTGATGGATGATAATCTTCGATAAATGCTTAGCTTCTTAACGACACAACCGCATTAGCTTGGTAATGAGTGGCATCCAATGCCAAAGGAGCAGCTCAGAGCATCGAAAGAAGCTTCTCTCTTATGATTGCAAGGACGTCAGGAAGATTACCAGGTGCATGGACATTTAATTGAACAGATCCAACCGTTAAATTCATTATGCAGGTTAACATTGGTCTTCAACATGGAGTTGATTGTGAAGGTAGTAAGCAACATGTGGCCGCCACTGGTAGCAACACAAGCTGTATATCTGTGACACAGACTGCACCGGGCTGCAGATGTGGAGTTGTGGGACTCGGTGCTGTTCCCCCTTCTAAATCCTGGGCCCTAGACGACCCAACTCAATCCTTAAATCTTGGATAAAGCTCAAGTTTGAAGAGTAGAGTGTCCACAGTGTAACTGCCCCATTCTAACCTCCCAAACTATTAAATGAGCAAACACAAAGATGAGTGGCACAAACGTGTGATCACAACAAGCAGGGCATGTTGATTCCATGATATTCCTTTTTTGATTTTCCCCAGATTAGATGAAATCCCTATCACCTGTACCCAGTCAACAATCCCACCTGATAATTGAATGCATTTGCAACAAAGTTATTCAATTGTACTGAGGCAAGTCAGGATCACAATGAAGATCATGCCAAAAATATTTGATCAATGCCCACAGTATTCTTTTAAAAACATACACAGAATCAACAGTGAAAAATTGACGTTAAGTATATAATGCATAACATTTACAGTGCAAAGCCAAGTATCCACATGCCTTCAGAAGTCTGAGTTGATATACTTTATTTTTCAAATTTCAAGTTGGATTTAAATTTTAATCACTGTTGCATTGCGTGCCGTCAGAAATGTTTTGCCCACACAAAATCAAAACATCGGGGGAGGGAGTAAGGTTAGATCACTATTTTTAATTGTGAAAAGCTTTAAAAATTTTACACACTGGTCATGCTCAACCCATCACCCCGTCTCAAAAATCTTTCCTTGTGCTTCAAGTAGTGAGTGTTGTGCACTGCACATTTTGGCAAGGGGTGCACATTGTGCTAAGATTCCCCCATTAACAGCAGCATAGACATGCCCAGACAATGACAACATATGAAGCACAGAAAAGGATGGAGCCAGACAGAATGATCACTTGTAAAGGGTTAATGCCAGTGAATGTCCAGGCCCGTGAGTTCTTTAGGAAGAACGTGTTTGGGAACAATCCGCGGTCACTGTGCTCCTGCAGAAAGGCATGCCTCCTGGATTCCTGTATCCATCACGTGGAGATGCCTGGGCTCCAGGAATGGGGGAGGAGATTCGGGTATTGGCAGAGAAGCTCACCTGCCGCCTCGTCCAATGCGCCGGCGTGCGAACCCCATGCAGCGCCGGGGGACGGTGAGGGTCGTGAGGCAGTATCTGTAGCGCACATCTCCCACACCTCCCTCTGAAGGGCTACACCACGGCCAATTGCCTGTTTGGTCCAACCGAGACTGTGGGGTGGTGGTGACAGACAAACGAGAGAGGAAACAGACAATATAAGTAACGTAGCTTGCTGTCATTAACCTGTAGTGACAGAGGAAAAAGGAAATGCAAAACTTACAGCATAGTATTGACAGCCAGCCTTCCTACGAAAAGCAAATGGACCGTCTGGGTCATTCTCTTCCTCAGCTTCCGAGGAACCTGAATGAATCTTAAAGAGAGAAAAAGCAGCCATGAACAACTGCAGGTAGTTTTAGGTGCAAGACTTAGAAGCAGCTCTTATTAATGGAAAATCTGATTTGCAGATCTTTATTTTTTTCAAAGGACAGTGGCTCTTCAGCTTCAGCATAACTACCTGGGAGAAAGGTTCTTCATCTGAGCTTGGGAAGTCGTACTGATTTAAGTCCTTAGCGTTGAAGACTGGCAGTACAGAGGGACCTGATTGCTGAGGCGCAGCAGAAGTAGATAAAGGTAAGACTTTGGGCTTCTTCTCGTACTTCCTTTTTGTTCGGACAACTTCCGTCTTCTCTTGCTGAAAAAATAAAACAGAACCCTGATGGAACCTAAGGTTTTCTGAAAGAAAAGTGAAAGGCTTCTCTGTTTAAACATGTATGGCAGCTTAAAATTCTGCTGAGCCAAACGCCTCTTCTAAAAAAAACACTTAAAATCTGTTGTGTACTGCCTACTGCTCATACCTGGAGTCAATAACCATACATCACATTTTCAAAATATTGCTCTGGGCAAAGATTATGCGATTAGCTATTCGAGATAGGATTAACACTGACAATTGTTTCTGGTGGTATCCTGACAGTTGTGCATTCCTTTAAGACCTTGGTGTCAACTTCAGTATCAATAGAGAATTAGGAGACATTCAACCTACAGAAATATGCTACGAACTTTGAACACACCTTAGGTTTGTATTCTTTAAGCTCCATATGATCCTGATGCTTAAACTGATTGCTGTTCGACAGTGGAATGATGGGCATTGTGTACGTTGGTTTCACTAGCTGTCGCTGAGCCAAGACCTCTGCCATAATCTCGCCACCAAAGTCAGCTATACTATACCTGAACAAGGGCAGAAAAGAGCACGCATTAACAGGATGGAAAAAAATCCAAAACGTAATTTAAGGCAAGAGTGAGACGTAATGAGCACAGACTGGCTTATTAGATTAATATCTGGCTTGTGGGAATGTCTGAGATAAAAGAGCAGGCATGCCTGAAAAAGTTCATTACTCTACAGTCCTTCAACACTTTCTTTCAAGATGCTTTGTGCAGCCACAAGGGAAACCATTCCTGAAAGCCATCCTTACCTCCAGCTCTTCTCCCTAAGCTTCAGTGTTTTTTAAAGACATCCAAGAGAGTGATTGCTGTAGGTATCTTTCTCATTTCTACATGTGAGATTTGCCTTTTCGCTGCCTTAAGCAATTAAGGCTACTGGGATTGCCCAAGCCTAGGTCTTTCATTGAAGAAAATCAGGTTCAAGGTAATTAACAGCTCTGGGCATATGCAATGCATTCAGTTGGATGTTTTTTTAATATTTTTCATGCATTTTAAGTAAGAAGTCAGTCCTTTTCTGGCTTTTTTGTACTTTTGACTGCAACAACCGCATGAAGGTAAACAGATTGATCTCGAATACATTAAGAACTGCAGCCATTTGAACCAACTTTGCCATTAAGCTTTTGTATTCATTGACTTAACACTAAGGCCTAGGAGTCTAAAATAATGATATGCATAACTATCATTTTGTTCAAAATTACAGAGAACATTTCAAAGTATTCAGCAGATCGTGGCAGTCCCATTTTCTATTATGTTCCATGTAACAGTTAAGACCATTACTTATTTGTCCTTTCTAGGAACTCCTCAAAAAATGTTTCTCTCTTGCAGCAAAGGCGGAAGAAACTCAAGATGAAAATATTTTACTTTCCAGGTTGAAGGAAATGTCACAGAAGATCTTATTACATTTCAAACCTACTTCAGTACATGCTGTATGTTCGCTTCCACTAATACAAAGAAAACCGCAAATGAAGAACAGCTTAAAATGTATACCCTATTACCATTCAGGCTCAGCTTCTTCCTTGACTCCTCGACGTACACCTTTTCTATGCTTATGCAAAAGGTATATTTTACAACTGCTTCGTTGTATATAGGGGAAAATTGCTTTAAGTTAAGGAGAGCTCAGAGGCTGCTTACCTCTTCTCTATGATCTCCAGTGTCAAGTGCAATAGCTCTCTTTTACTCTTCTCTCTTCTCTTAATCATCTCCAAGATGGTCACAGCTCGGCTTAGGTCTCTCCGCAGCTTCAGCATTTTCTCATACGATGCCTCATCATTCTTCCGATTCTGCAAGATGATACAAAATAAAAAAAAACTAAGACATGAAACATTTATGTTTATGCTTAGAAAAAAACAAGGAGCCCGTTTTATGTACTCAAAAAGCTCCTTGTAGCAGGAACAAGACCACTACAAAAGCACAACCACAAAAATGTCTATTTCAGACTAGGGATGTTGAGATTAACCAGTTTCACTATTAACCATGTCCCATTTTCATAACTGTGAGAATTTTAGAAGCCTCTTTTTAGCAGCCTCGTGTTCCACGATGCCCTGAACAATTCCTCTCGCGAGGAAGTCACGTGTGTGTGCGCTGGGCCTGGCTCGGCTCAGCTGGCTAGTCCAACAACACCTTAGCCTACAGAGAGCAGACGTGCTGTGAAAATGACGGAGGGATATGTTATCTCAGCGTTATATCCACCAAAAAAGCACCTAAGATTGGCAGTGTGGGAGCATTTTGGATGTCTAAAAAATGATCAGGGGGTAGTAGAAGACGACGGATACCCAATTTGCAAAGCGTGCCATAAAAAAGTGGCTGCCAAAGGCTCCAATCTGCTTTAGCGTCCCCATAATCACCACCCATCGCTCTATACACAAGTCAAGAGAAAAAATAAACTAGCTAGGGTTACACTAGTTTAAGTTAGGGCTCGCCCTGGCTGGAGTAGTGCTCTGTGCGTACTTAACGTTACTTTTGTTTTCATTCGAGTTAATTTTGTGGGGATACCTCGATCCCTTATAAACTTTTTCCTATAATTGTTGCTCACCACCAGTCCATCCACTAGCCCTGGCATTAACGTATATACACTTTTTACTGACGAGTGACGAAGTTCCAAGTGAGGAGAGGGACGGGCTGAGACTGACCTCTCTGAATATTTCCATCTGCCACTGCCTACTTCCCCATCATATTTGTTTTTAATATAAAGTAGGTTACATGTTTTATTTGCAGGACCAAAAGAATGTTATGAAAAAAAATAACATGTTTAATTATGCCATGCTTTGTGTCTTTTTCCCCTCCATAGTGTCACAGAATAAATTACCTGAAAAAAAAATAAAACCAAGAAATCGGGATTATTTCCTGAGACTATAATCACGCCACCAAAATCTCACACCGTGACATCCCCTTTTCAGACTAATATCTCTTGGGAACACAGATTTCTTGAACTGTCCATCACTAAATTGTTTTAAAAGCAAGAGAACAAGTTCACACCTAACTGCATAAAGAAGTAGTGTAGTGAACCCTACAGTAAAACACGGTACAAAACCTAGTAAAGTATTCAGGCCTGGACTGCCAGACTCAAGAGACAGTTTTTACCCCCAAACTATCAAATTATTAAATTTCAGCCCCTCTTACCTACGATCTGAACACTCACAGTACCGGCTCTCTATCAAAACTCAAACACATATTGAAATCTACCTCACATATCAAGAAGCTCACTCCCCATTATTTTCTATCCTTTCTTTCATTCTCTTGATGTATGATTTTGTACATTGTCTGTTACCAGTTGTTGTTTTGCATATTGCCCCTTGTCTCGGTCTTTCTTTTCTTATAAAACTGTATTGGCGTTGGGGTTTTTGGTACTTCTTACCATTTGAGAGCTAGCTAAAGAGCATTGCGTTATACCATATACCTGTATGTGAGTATAATGACAATAAACTTGAACTTGACAACTCTACAGGGGTAGAGAGCTGTCCTCAGAAATGAACAGCCCAGAACGATCCAGCTCAAGAGTTCCAGAGGCCGCAGTCGCCCTCTCCGGGCCGGAGCGCACACCTTGCGTGTCTGCATCTTCTCGGTCCTCCTGCGGAAGGCGACGTACGGGTCGTTGGTGCTGGAGCCATCGCGCTTCTCCTGCTTCACCATGGGGATGAGGGAGGCGCTCTTGCAGCCTTTCCTCTTGCGCGCCCAGTACTCGAACACCTCCCGGATCAGCTCGTCGTCCTCCTTCAGCAGCAGCTTCGCCTCCTGGAGAGTCACCAGCTGAGGGTCAAGAGAGTGAATTCACCGACTGGGTCTCCGGCAAGAGGTCAACGATAAACAAGATAACGAACGCGGGCTTAACGACTGCCGAGTTGCTCAGGCTTCATTATTTTAACCCGTATCACATTAAGCCTCCGAGTGTCTTATGAGTGGCCTACGAAAACATTTCTCTTTCGCAGTAAACATCACAGAACCACACTTGTCCAGAAGTGTATATTTTTGGTATATAGCCAGGGGCAGCAATAACCCAATGAAGTACAGGTGGCTGAGTGTTAAGCCTGAGAAAAAAACATCTCAGTAAACCAGACACACCCAGAGCCAGTCAGTTCCTCTCACACTTCTGTCATCCACGAGGTGGTGCGCTGGAAGCTAAAACTACTGCTTTAGTCTGCACAGTGTGTGTGTGTGTGGGCTCCGTCCTGGAATAAACTGCATAAACATACATATCACCACCATTTTCAGGTCAGTCCTATGCCACTTGGCAAGGTTAATGGAAATGAAGAATATCATGGATAATAAACATTATGCACAGTTGCTATATCCGGTCAGAGCGTGAACTAGTTCACAGTTTGCAAGCTGTTTATTTTTTGTTCAGGTGTACACGGGAGTTTTGACTGCCACAAAAGACTGCGCTACAAAACGCCAAACTGATTCTGCTTCTGCCGTGTGACTGGGAAGACCTCAGTGCACATCATGCTGGTTCACCTACACATCGTACTTGTAGGGCGTCGCCTTTCTGGACAACAGCTAAGTAAAACAGCAGTGAGTGGGATCAAGTGAAAGAGACATCATAATGTTGCCACTCAGTTATTATATGGTTGAACTATGGAGTTCATCTGCTATAACACTACTGCATTACATGCTCAGTTGACGTCTTTAGCCAGTTAATTTCTAGAACGTCCTTCTGGGAGTAGGAAAAGCTTTTGTCGTTTTCTTCAGTCTTATGTAAAAAAAAAAATCAGCTCCGTACGAAACGCTGAAACAAATCGAAATCCTCCCCAGTACGAGGACATCCATACAATACTTGGAGATCACTTGTGACAAACAACTGACTCAATGACTTGCGTTTAGAGAATAGCAATGATCTGAATCTTTTCTTGACTGTTTCAGAGAAGCAATATTGGTCCTTGAGGTTTCAAATTCTTGGACACTGCATCTCACGACTGTCAGGTTCTAAAGAAAATATTTCAAGAAAATTTGACCAGAACAAACACGAGAAGATATTCATAGCCGGTTATGTGTATAAATCAGAAGTAGACAGGTCAGATCTTCCCTGTCACACGGCAGAAGCAGAATCCGTTAGGCTTGTTGTTTTGTAACAATCAAAATTTCCATGTACACCTGTTTGTACCAAATCCCTGTTCTTATACCCTAAGCTAAAAAGCAAGAAAATATTTGATGGAAATGTCCAGCGAGCACAAAATACAGAGACACAACTGGTAATCAAGGAGCAGGGAGACTGCATACAGTCTGCATGCCAAAGGAGAAAAATGTCTGTGGCCAATGATTTCTCAAACGTTGAGGAATGAACTATTTTGGTTAAAAATGAAGTGCAATTGGATTCCATATTTGCGTTCCTTTGGAATCTTGCATTGAAAGATTCAAATTTACTGTCCTGGTGAAAGGAGCGCTCTTCTGTACTCCTCAGCTTTCCTCAAATCAATGCTCTCTTTGCCCGAGAAAATCTTTTTCTGACGGCAGGACTTATTTTACAACTTTATTTTAGGAACATTAGATGGCCCATTATTCTACACAGAAATGCGTTCTAAATTTTGGCTAAAGATTCAAACGTTCGTCAGATGTGTAATGGTAAAAAGGTTAAATGTTTAAAGGTTACATTTTTGAAGGCCTAATGTTTAAGTTAAAACTACATCACCAATGTGTGATGACCTTACACAGACTAGCTTTGTTGGTTCATGTTCGTTAATATCGTGTCCACGTCAGAACTGGGGTCTTTAACAGACTCGCACAGAACCGGATTCTCATGCTTTATCATTGTCAGAATTTTAGCAGGTCTCCAGAACAGCTCAAGAGCTTGATGAGAAACAGTGGGGAATAAATATAAATTTGGACACCAAATGAATCAAGACAAGTGTCAAAGTAAGTCTAACTGTGAACATGCATTTTACTGGAAGATCAAATCGTGGGAGGAAATGAATAAGTCAAATTAAAACTGAAGAACTGGGTCACCCTAAACCAAACAAAACTATCCTAATAAACTTTAGCCAGAGTGATGGTCACCTGCTGTCCACTGCCCCTTTCCAGACGGTCAATCATGTCTTCAAACTGCAGAGGAGTGATCTCCATTTTCTTTTTCAGCTTATTCACAAACGCCTCATCTTCTGAATCCAAGTCATAGTCCGGCTGCTCGGCATCCAGGCTGAAAGCTAAGAAGGGGAGAGAGGAAAAAATTACACATGCAGCAAGCATTTCTCTTCACTTAAAAAAGAGAATCAAATCAAGGGCTGAAAGCAACAAGTCATTCTATACTGTTTGAAATTCATCAGGCCAAGCTAGTTACAGTCGTGCCCAATATTCCTCTTGTATTTAATTTAACAAGAGGCTAATGTGACAGACCCTGGACTGAATGCAGCCTAAGTCCCAGAATTTCCTTCAGCGGTGGACACGGGGTAAAAATATTTATTTTATACACTCAGCACTACGTCACAACTACATTTCACAGTTGAACAGACCGCCTAATGTGTTTAGAAAGTAATTGATTCTGTCAGCTCCCACACACAGGGAATCAGACGTAATAATGCCCTTGGACTTTTACTTCTACGGCTAAGGTACAGAAAATTGACTTTCAAAATACAGCATCACATAACCATGGCGCTAGTGGGTAATGAGCGATATCCAAGTTACTTTCAAATGCTTCACTACAGTGGACTGCTATTTGAACAAACTCATTTTACAAGATGCAGTACACAAATTATGGTCTTAAGTTTATTGCAGTTATCAAACATGGGGCACAACCAGCTACTTTAAGTGACTCCTGTAATCTGCAATTTTCCTCATCCAGCAGGTATAAAATACTTTACTACTGACCTTACCGTTTAACTGTACTTCAGAAAAAGTCATCTGTAATTAAGCTAAACATTTGACATACTTTGCCAGGGTAAAAGTAGCCCACTTTAACCTGCCTTCACAATCCTCTCTTCAGCATAAAAACACTTCAACTGTGGAAATTTTAGAACTAAAACGTTCCTATTAAATGTTCATAAAGTTAACTGTTGAGATATACACATAAATGGTTTGCTTAAGTCTATTATGAAAAATGTTTCTCCATACTTTAAGAATTTCTAAAGTTATTTACAACCAGTGAAGGCAAGTCTTGTTTTTATAAGGCCAAAAACAAACACGTTAGGATCCTTTTACAGACATGTGCCTGGCTGGGGACCGTTTTTAACAACTTCACAACGGAGCAAAGCACGTCCCACTCACCAACAAAAACTGGTCACATTGACGAGCCATACACAAGATAATTACTGCAGTGCGCATCAGGAGTCAGGCAGGCCAATGGCACAGGGGCTCAGACTGCTGCCTCCCAGCTGGAAGGTGAGTGTGCCACGCAGTGGACTGGCGTCCCGTTCGGGGTGGACCCTGCCTTGTGCTGTTGCATGCTGGGACAGGCTACACCTCCCGAGGAGGACCCCTGTCGTTGGTCCTATTTGATTCTGGAACCCCCTTTGCTTTTTTGTTGCGATCTGCTTTGTGGCTGCTTTTGCACTGCATGAAGCAGTTAGAAAATGAATGGATGGATATAAGTAGTTTAAATGTTTCCCGAAACATGTTTAATAGCGATTTTCATTGGCCTCTAACAAAAAATGCATTTTGCAGCACAACATGTGAAGTCCTTCAGAAGCAAGATTACCCCTTTTTGCTCAATAGGAAGCACAGAAATTAAACTTTGGCATTTTATTTCAGTGTTTGATAGCACCCGAGCAAGGCAGACGCACTGAAAGATATCCACAATCTGTTTCAGCTTAACAGATCTTCATACAGGTCTGTTTCTTTATGCTGTTTATGAGACGAGTCAATTTGTCTCCACGTTAACAAGACTAAATCTAAGAACATGGTTTTAACACCAAAAAACCCTTGGTTCTGCTGTTCTGAAGAGATTCTGGTAGAGTACCAACTTTCAAGTATACATCTAAAGCAAAACTCTTAAAATACATGACTCAAAGCTGAAATAAACAAACCCTTCACTGACACCCCACAATAAAATGTACCCGTCTGAAAAACCTGCATTTGCCACCTAGTAATGCAGTTAAAACTACACAAATAAAGGTCAAGTGGGAAGGCAGGCATTCTAAATGTAGACTACTAACTCCACATAGTGTGTATATTGTTGTCATGATACAATGACTGCGACAGTACTCATGAAAATGAAGAGCAAATCACAGACAACACTGATAAATAAGATTACACTTAGGAACATAAGACTAGATTCATACAAGAGCCCATCTGGTCCTCTGACAAGCAGGTAAACTACCCAAGTTTCAGAACCATGCATTCTAAATACAGCTGTGCCAACAGATTTAAAACTAACCAAATTTTACTTGTCCTTCCAAAAAAGCAACCCCATTGCCCACTTGTGTTAGAATACCGAAGACACCACAGTTGAAGGAACTTGTCTCATTGATCAAACTGTGGAAGAAAGCACCAGAACTACACATCACAACCCAAGTTCTGTTAAAAGGGTTCAATTTTAATTTTTAAAGCTGTGATGAGAAAACAGCTCTACTTGTTATATAATGGAGATCAACAGCTCTGAGGTAATAGATTTCTTTACTCCAAATAATGCAATGTCATCAAGGCAGTGCACAAATAATTGTTATAAATAACTATGACCTTGTAATAACATTGTATTTCACTAGTGCTGAACTGGGGTAATGCTGGCATGTGCAGAAACCTCTGTATATTCTCACATTACCAGCTTAAAAATTCCGGGTCATTTAGAGATGAATATGAAACATTAATGCACGCTTCCACAGGCCAGTTAAATCAAGGAACCATGCTAACTATTAAAGAAAATATTTTATAAGACTTATTTGAACCTATTTCCCTCACGTGCACATGTAAAAACGAATCGATGGCATTTTAAAATCAGTTCTAGACAAAAAAGGCATGCATCTAAACAAATCACACCCACGTTTTAAAGTCAAAGCAAAAGTATAGTCTGCAGCAAAGTTTTTCATCCAGTACTTACGCTGTATGTGAATAAGCTGCTTTGGCATCTTGAACTCTCCGGGGTAGAGAGATTCATAGTAGGCAATGTTGCTTTCTGCCTCCGGAACCGGAATAACCATGTTATCCCGTTTCTCTCCATAAACCTGCTGTGCTGAAATTGCCCTCTGGAGATGGTGCTCCTACAGAAATAAAAGTTAAAAATCCATTAGGACTTGAATAAACATTTCCGAACCACTTTATCCAATACAGGGTTGTGGGGGAGCCAGCAACCGGGCAGGATACATCCTGGACAGGACGTCAGTCCTTCACAGGGCAGACAAACACTCACACTAGAGCCGGTTTTTCCTCAGAAGCCAATTAATCTACCGGTATGTTTTCGGACTGTGGGAGTGAGCCCGGTCACCCCGAGGAAACCCACGTGAACACAGGGCGAACCCACAAACTGCACAAAGACAGCAGCCCAGGAGCCTGAGCCCCAGCACTGCAAGACAGGTATGCTAACCACTGCACCAACCTGTCACCCCCCACTCTTCAGTTTTAATACTTGCTTGCAATTTTTATAGCTAGGTTGAAAAACCTCAAATACCATGAAGCACCACTCTTGTGAGTTTCTTAGTGATGACCCAACCCCCAGCCTAAATAAGCACAGCAGTGCAGACGACTGTTGAGAACCGCCACATTTACACATTACCAAGCCCACCCCTATACTGTTGTACAATGTAGTGCAGTTTATATTGTGTGGTTGAAAAAAGACCAGTAACCCTCCGTTATATAATAATTACAGTATTAATTCACTTAGTTTAACTTCACAAGTTAATTAAAATAACATCAATCTACTAAAACAACTAATTACATACAGTAAATCAGCTGAAAAAACATGAATCCCTCCTCTGCTTCCAGTGGATGCCTGCACTCTTTTCACATGATTAGCATGCCCCACTGTCGCAGCTGACAGAACCGGGAGTGTTCTTTACAGGACAGAAACAAGACCAGGCTGGGTAGTGGGTACTGGACAAGGGGCAGGGAGAGGTTCACTCACTAACTAGACTTCTCTCGTGATTGTAGTCTGTTTCACAACTTATTTGCGCGTTGAGCTTAACAACCTTCGGCTTGGTTTCACCAAGCTCAGCTCTGCTTCCAGACAAGACCTCGTAAGACGGGACTGAATCATTAAAAGGTGAATTCATGAATGTTAAATTTACACACATCGAGACCCTGCAGTACCAGAAATGCCTGAAAAGGAAGCCATGTGTACAACCAGGGCAAGCACAGCCTTTGCTTATTTTTCTCCTTCCATCAGTGAGTGTATCAAAGAAGCACCCCCCACCTCCCATAGTCAATATTTCCACATTTCTCTTTCAATGTTTGATACCAACAGGGACCACTAAAAGGGAACACCTGATTATTATATTCCCAGTTGTGATCACCTGCTCTCTCTGAACCAGTTGGAGGTTCAGAACAGACACCGTGTTATTACAATCCAAAATCACATCTCTGCCAATTTCACCAATTTTCTCTGCACAAAGACAACGAGCTAAGGACAAGACAAATGTGAGCCTAAATATTGCAGGTTGCTACATTACATACAAATGTAGAATAAAATCCATTTTATTTATGCTCAGTATCAAGGTGTCAGCCTCCAAAATCCAGAATCTGAAGAGATATTGATTATGATCATAGTGAGTATGATTGTTCTTGCCACACACAATGGAAAATCTCCTGTGACTTGATCATCAGAAAAACTCAGAGTGGTTTCATACCCACACTCTTAAAGACACTATCACTGACATATTGACATTTGGATAAACTGGTAAGGCACATGTTTAAACAGCAGCATGTCATGTCCTGCAAGCAATACATTAAAAAAAAACTGCTTCTGTTTTAAAGGATTCTATCAGACATCAAACTTTTTAAAGAAGAAATGTAGAAAATGTTGAGAAAACGGAGGCAAGGTGTAACTGCAGAGCACATGGGCACGAGTGTACAGGCATGGCGATATCAACAGCATCACTTCTGCTAGATGTTTAAGTTGTAGTAAGACCCAGTAATAGTCTGAACTTTGGAAGCCCTCGGAGACCACAAATCCAACTTAGGATCCGACTTAAGAAAAAGATCCAACACAATGACTAAATCAGTCACCTTCTACACAAAAAGTCCCACTCTTAATCAAGGCAGAACTTCTCTGACCCAGGACATTACCCATTCCTGTGCTCTTCCTCCACAGCAAGAAGGGTGGAGTGAGGTTATGTACTGGCTATCACTGACGTGGAATAATACTGGCACTGGATGCATTCCTGCAACGACATCTTAGTCCAGACCTGAATCGCTCTCTTCACTTAAGCAGCTCCGGGCAGAAACAAGCATTAGATTAAAATATGCTACACCGACAACCCACTTCAGTGAATTATACCAGGTTATCAAGCCAAAACATTAATGAAAAAGGCCAAGAACACTTACCATGAATTGGCATGTTACATAGTTTGCAGTGTCAAATATCTCGTTTTCAGAGACTCCTGTTAAGTTTTTAACCACAGTTACCTTTAAGTGCACTGTTGTATACTTATAACCTCTATTAACCTCATACCGTATTTTTACCCGAGAGAAATTAAAGGTGTTGCCAAAACTATCACTGAATTCAGTCCAATAGCTTAATTGGAATATGCGTCTCTCTTCCAGACTGAAAGAAACACCTGGAGAAAAGTAACCCTCTTAAATGCAATTTTGGACCAATAACCTGCCAATAAGTTACAACCATGAACTGTGAAAACACCTGCTCTAACACTTCCCCAGACCAACACTTCATGGGAAAGTATGCAGGAACCTGTTCATCTTTACACCACTGACAGAACACCGGGTAGGTCAAGCCCAGCCTAACTGGACCGATGTTTCACAGTCTACATTTGGAACAGTTGATTTTTTTAAAATACTGTATTAAAGAGGCTGTATTGCCTTCTCATGAGACGCTATCTAGTTTAAATGGAGTGAAAAAACCCAGAATTCGCCACAAAACATTCCACTGCAAAATATTCAAACAACAAAATGAGCTAACCATTGTGGTTAAATGGCTCACCTACAATGTTAATGGAACATTTTCAGAATGGTCTGCTTTGGCATCCAAATGTAAACAGCGTGCAAGTAGAGGAAAAGAAATGGGTGAAACTGAACCCTTTAAAGTCATGTGGAGGAGAGATGCTAACCTACAACCTCAGTGCTTGTACATCAGCTGTTAAAAAAAGACTGCAAAGTCTGATCTGGAATACGTTATTGCCACCAACAACCAGGGCCTACAGATCTGCATTGTAGATAGTCAAGTTTTCAACATCATTTTGAAACTGCAGACTTCTGAAAAATAAGTTGTGACATGGCAGTGCAACGGATTCTTACTCATTTTATTAAATACAAAAAGCAAACTAATCGAACATGTATATCATGACAGTTGAAGGCGGGTCTGTAGCTTTGGATCAGCAATAATTTCCTAGATCTTTTAACAGCACAGTCTAAAACAACGGCACTAACAGAGACCAGTTTGATGAAATGCTACCTCAAAAGTCCTTTGGCCTATTCTTCCACAGCTCAGCAGTCACTGCAGATCTGTCTCGCCACACAGGCCTGCTTCCTTCTGGAGACCAGAAGGCCAAATCCTTCCTCTAAAACCGCACATGGATGAGGTCACGAACTTCAGAAACACACCAATGTCTATGGAAATAACCACCAAGAGGAGCAGCCCAGACTTGTATTTAAAAACTTCCATCCCACTGCATTTTTGAATGCTATAGGCAAAGATATGATCAAAGCATTTCCAACTGTTCATCAACAGACACTGTCTTGCAAAGTTTATCCCTTTGAAATGTTTAAAAATGCAAGGTCTGAGCATTTGCAGTGGGCAGTCGTGCAAAAAGAAAACCCATCCCTACTACTGAAAAACACTGGTTTACAACACAAGCCTTCAGAAAAACTGCACCCGGTAATTTAAGGTAGTTGTTAATTCAAAAAAGGTAATACCTCAAGATTGATTAAACCAAAAGCAAACTCAAAAACCACCTAGGATGAGCCAGGAAGGGATCACTTATATACCAGTCACAGTGTAGGGCTCAGCTGCAATCAAAATGTTATATATTATAATGGTTAAATACCAGGAATTCCATAAAACCCCTTTAATTCAACTGAATTGTCTCCTGGGGTGTCTTGAGTACTACATAGCAGCTGATTAACTTTTTAAAGCAGATAAAATAACACAGCACAATCTAAAACAAGTTGTTGTTAAAGACTCTAAAACATACTGTATACGTTTAAGATGCATTTATAGTGAATGTCTTCGTATAAACCACGGTGATAAAATGAAGATTTTAGTTTTCTATAAACATCGTAATGGACAGCCTGCGGTTCTTTCAAGCGCTGAAAACACAAAAGCACGATACAAACCCAAGACAGCACTTCTTTTCTGGAACCCAGATCCCACAAAAACACAAACCCCCCTTTTAAGCAGACGGTGGCTCCCGGCAATTCTCAGCCTGTGAGCTTGTATTCTGCAATTTCATTTCCATGCAACGCTTTGCTTATTGAACACACCTGGGCTTTTCAGCAAGTATCAGACTCCTGACTTGGTCCAACAGACCGCAGTCTGAACAGCACTGGATAGCACTGTCGCATGTCCCAATAAAGAAAAACTAAAAACAAAACTAACCTGCAGTAAAAAGCGATGTACTTTGCAATGACTGCACAACTTAAAATGGAGTATTTTTGCCATTTTTCACTATTAAAGGAGAGGTATTGCAAAACTAATTAGAATCTTAATTAGAAAAGAATTCTCTGGATAACTCTTAGATTAAAAAAAGCCATAGAACTTCTATACAAGGAAAACATTTCCATACAGCTTACAGTAATGGCAGAAAGAGAACAGCGTTGCTCAGAATTACATTAAAACAAAAGTAAACAAGGAAAACCAAATTCCCAGAATAATTGCAGATAAAAAGCACACCTTCCTTCTATGAAGGAAGTCACAGAAAAACAACCATCCTAGAAAGTGTTTCCCACAGCAGTAAGTGTTCTGAATACACAACTGACATTTATTAACCTGAATGCAAAACATGCAACTCCCGGCACACTAGGACTGGTGACAAACACCGTCAGCTGCAGGGGATTTCCCGGGACAGGCAGGACGGTTCGAGCCTTGAAACCA